TTGCACTTTTTGCGTAATCATGGCAGAACGTCTTTCCATGCATAACACAAAAACATACGGGGATAGAGGGTCCCCTTGACGTAAACCTTTAGCAGGTTTGAACTTATCAAGGGGTTCACCATTCCATAAGATATCCGTACTCACACTTGTGACACAATTCATAATCATAGCCACCAATTTCTCATCAAAGTGAAAGTCCAACAGAGTTTGCCGTAGGAGATTCCAAGAAATATTATCATATGTCTTTTCAAGATCAACTTTGAGAATCATGAATCCAATCTTCCATTTTTTCTTATTCAAAGTATGGATTGCTTCTTGAGTGATGATGATATTATCGTGTGTAGATCTACCCAGAATAAAGCTACTTTGGTTATGTCTAATGATATCATTCAAAATAGGACAAATTCTATTGACAAGGATTTTGAATATGATTTTATAAGTCACATTACACAGGCTGATTGGGCGGAACTGCTTCACATTTATCATTCCATGTTGGCATGAGATTGAAAATTTAAGAACACAAGGTCGTAGTGTAGCATTTAGTAAACACTGATTTGGGGTCTTTTTGGGAAGGAGGTAAAAAGTTAACTTTTAACTTTTTATTCATTTTGGGTCACATTATTTTTCATATTTTTTACCCATAAAAAGATAAAATAAATTTAAAGAGCCAAAAAACTAACTTTGGTTTTAGCAATCTAGGTCAAAATTATGGGCAATAAATAATTTTTGAAATCGAATCCTTAGAAATAATTGACTGAAAATCGTCTAATTATCAATCATTGATAATTGATTTTTTCACTTACGCTGTGTTTGGTTGGGAAATTTAGGAAGGAATTTGAAAAAAGAAAGGAAAAAAGTGTGTGAAACTATGTGAAATATAACTATATTTTATTCACATTTTACATATATTTTTCTTTTCTCTTTCCAAATCTCTTTCCAAATTCTCCAACCAAATACAATATTATAGTGTTAGTAAAATGGGCCTTTTTTGGTTTTTATTTTATTTTTGTTTTTTGCTTTTTTTTTAATACTATGCAATTAATAAATTTTATTAAAAAAAAATTCTTACAAGTTGCCCCTATCATATTATTCAGTTAGACCATGTTTTAAATTTCGAAGTTTCATCCTTCCTTACATGTCATATCAATTATATATATATATATATATATTTTAATTTATTAATTTTTATATCATTTTTCCGACTCAGACGTAGAACATAACTTGGTCATATAGGTCTACATTTTTTGGGCCTAAAGCCTTGGGTTGATTGTCTATTGGGCCTACGATGGTTTCAAGCTTGACCTACCCAAATTATGCACTTTTATTCTGTCTTATCTCCTTTGGATTGCAAAGATCCTTTGCTTTTAAATTAGGGAAAATTACCCAGAATTTGAGAAACTTATTACATATGTATGAAAAAGTTATAATTATAATTATAATTATTAATATTGATAAAGTTTACTATTAATTTGTAATTATTTTTTAAATTTTATGCTGATTTGAAATTTTCCCTTTAAATTATAGTGGAGACAACCAACTAAAAAAAAGGGGCTTGGAGGAATTTAGCTAAGCTCAGCTCATTGCATAGGAACCTTTCAACTACCTATAATTTTTATTAGAAAATGGTTTGCAAATTGAATTTTAATACATATAATTTAACAGAATGATGTGGTTGTTTTGAATTATAAGACAGAATAATAGGTGTTTTAACTTGAAATAAACGGATTAAAAATAGCACATCATTTTGTTTAAAATTTTCATACAATGATTATGTTTGTATAACATTACCCTTATTTATTTTTGAGCTCACATGACTTTAGTATGTGAGGTATATGAGTACATTATGAGAAATTCTATTTCTACATACTTAATTATCTTAGTGTACATACTTAATGAAATATTATTTTAATGACAATTATATTCTAAATTAGAATAGCCATAATGGACATCTACCAACACCTACAATATTATATGAAAATATATGTACACATCTTTTTAAAGATAAAATGTCCATGGAAAGAATAAAATGATGTAAAATTATCCGCAAACATAATATGGCCACATAAACTACTCTGCTGGGCAACATATCAGAAAAGAGCAGAAGCTGCATCAAAAGTTTAGAGAAAATGTAAATGTATAGTAATTGTTGTGTAATATTTGTACATACAGATAATCAAAAGGAGCCACATTACTATTTTTTGGCTCTCCTAAAAACAGTTATTTAATCTTCCAGCACCGATCAACTTGTGTAATTGATCAGGCAACAAACCAATGAACATTCTACACTAAAATGTTACAAAAACAGATGATTTTTATGTGAAATTTTCTGCTAAGAAAATGCTATCAACAAACTTTATTTCCCTGTGTTTATGCAGTGGGGTTTGTACAAAAGAATTTTAAACAAGCATTGAGACTTTGCTGCACCTCGAGAGCATTTTTTGCGGCCGGATTTGCTAAGAGCACAAACACAAATCTCTAGAAGTTCATAGTCTTCCTCCCAGAATAAAAGAGAAGCCGTCTCCGAATTTTCCAAAAGCATTTTTGAAGTCAGGTACCCAGCAATTGACCACGTTTGGTAAAATCAAGCTTGCTTTCTTATAAATTTTCCATTTCTTGTGTGGAAAGAATAAGATGTCCATGGAAAGAATGTCTTACCTTCAACAATATTTTGGAATGGAGGTTGAATATGGTCTTCAATGGAGGGGAAATGTTTAAATGTAGACCAAAGTCTTCAATAGGTGTTCATGTGGGTGGGTCTACACTTGTGGACATAGGGTCAACAAACAAGTGTATGGAAAGAAATGTTTGGAGTGTGTACAATGGTCATGAGTAAATGGTGTAATTATAATTTTTAGTGTGTGAATTAAGAAGATTAATTAATAATCAAATTAATAAGTGTGTATACTGAAAAAAGATACGCAAGGTAATTAAGTGTGTAGAAATAGAATTTCCCATACATTATATTCTTAAAAAAGTTTAAACCATTAATTATGCGTTTGGATTTTGAATTATAAATTCAAATAAAAGAATTTGAAATAAATAAATAAAAGCTACTTTTTTATAATATTTTTTTCTTTAATTATAAACTTGAGCCATCTTTGATAATAAAAGCTAAAATTAGGTGGTTTTGCTTCAATTTTAAACTTGGACTGTATGATTGCCACAAGAAAAAGAACAGTGGAGGATCTCGAACCCCTTTTATTGTCCTCTTAAATTTTATTAATTTATGAAATTATATAAATGTATAAAAAATAATTTCACAAACCAATAAAACTTAAGTAACCAAAAAAGGAAAAAGGGAGGAGACAAGTGATTTGAATTTAAAGAATATCAACTTTTCAAAACGTGGAGATTAAAGAAGGATCCACTAGCCAAAGCAAAACCAGATGGTTAGGTCCCCCCACTAATAGTTTAGGTGAGAAGAAGAATTGTGCTTTGCTCTAGCAATAGCATGATATCAAGTTTGACCCACTAGTCAAATTCCTGCTCTAGCCCCCCCACTTAGGACCAATTAATTTCACATATTCAAACATGTAAACTCTAAGTTTTAGAACTACAAGAAATGTCACTTTTGACTACCAAAACAATTAAACAGATCTGTATGATGAACTGCTTAGAGACGAGACCCAGATTTGGATATGGGGCTACTATGAAAATCTGGGTAACTTTCTTTAAATAAAATAAAAAAGAAAAAAAGAAGGAAGAAGATAAATCTCAATGCAACTATATCATTATATATACAAATTATGTGTACTTTTCTACTTATATATTAGTACTTATAGCGTAATCGTGTGCACATACTTTTATTTTCCTTCGCCATCTCATCAGCAACCACAGTGAACATTAGATATAATTTTTTATTTCAAAATTTAATTTACCATGAGGATAGTATTAAAAATGTGGCACCATATAGTCATTTTAAATTTCATGCCTATAGTGGTAAATGGGCCATTGATCAGCAACTTAGTTCTTGTTTACTGTTAATTTATTTTTGAAATCTAAGCAAGTTCTTATCCATAAAGATTAATAATGAAACCTTTGTAGGAATTTGTGAAAATAACATATCTGAAAACATCACCTTCCAACTATGGTATTTTATTCTTTTCTCCACTCTGAATTTGAAGAGCCAAATCTGCATACTTCATTGATCACTTAATCTATGAAAATATATTAACAGATCTAGATTAGCGGGTCTGGACATCTAATTATCAAATATATATATATATATATATTACAATTAACAATTAAAATTATCTCTAATATCAAAACCCAAAAACAGAAAATAAATAAATCAGATTACATCAGCATCAAATTAACTTAAACAATAAATACTATGTACTCAAAATTAATATTTTAGAAAATTATTAATAATTTAAAATGAGAAGATAAGATTCATTTGAATGTAACTCACACCATACATAATTTAAATTTATATCTTATATTCAAATTTTAAACATGTAATTTTTTTTTCCTATATAATTAGTCTCCAAAGATATCAATAGTTTGAAAAGGGATTGAAGGAGCCTAATATATCCATCAAGCATTGCCTATACAATACTCTCAAAAATGACAAATCATAAAATGCACTAGGTCGGTTATAACTTATATCTTATCACTATTATTCTATTCGTAATTTTTTTTTATTATATCATTAATTAAAATAAAAAAAACACGTCAACATTTATATATAATACTTTGAAACTACTCAGTATTAAATTCTAATTCTCTCCATTTCATATTTCTAATAGAAGATTTTCATTATAAATTCAAATTTTATATATATGTAGGAAATGACCATGAAATGTGGACGACAGCAAAAGCACACTATAGTGGGTATACTAGTGTAAGTGAAAGCATACTTGAGAGGTGTATGACTTGTGTAGTGTGTGTGCACTGGATCACATTGTTTGTAGTCCCCAAAATTCTCTCTTTGCATGTGCTTCAACCACTCCCCTCACTTTGGACCCCCCTTTACATGCCTATAAATAGCCACCATTTCATGCATTTGGGAGTCAAGGTTGTGGGTTTAAAACACATTAATATGGCTTCCCACAAAATTATGAGTGTTATTTTCCTTGTGTTATTAGGGTTGGGTATATGTTCTGCCAATAGAGCCCTCCTCACCCTTCAAGGAGGTGTTGGCTATGGCTCAGGCCATGGTGGTGGAGGCGGCAGTGGCTATAGTGCTGTAGGCGAACATGAAACTATTGCCTATGGAGGTGGTAGTGGAAGCGGTGCTGGTGCTGGTGCTGGTGCTGGAGCTAGTGGAGAACACGGTGCTGGTGGAGGTGGTGGTGGTGGCAGTGGCGGTGGAGGAGGCTCTGGTGGTGTCGTCGGAGAGCACGGTGCTGGATATGGAAGTGGAAGTGGAAGTGGTGAAGGAGCCGGTGCTGGGTATGGTGCTGGAGGTGAACATGGAAGTGGTGGTGGTGGTGGAGGAAGTGGTGGTGGAGGGGGAGGTGGTGCTGCGTATGGTGCAGGTGGAGCCCACGGAGGTGGTTATGGTGAAGGAGGTGGCAGCGGTGCTGGCTATGGTGCAGGTGGAGAGCATGGTGCAGGTGGTGGTGGGGGTGGTGGTAGTGGTGGTGGTGGTGGAGCAGGATATGCAGGAGGCGCAGGAGGTAGTGGATACGGTAGTGGTGGAGGAGAAGGAGGGGGTGTAGGAGGTGGTGCAAGCGGATCTGGCGGTGGCGGTGGCGGTGGCTCTGGTGGTGGAGGTGGTTATGGTGCCGGAGGGGAACATGGAAGCGGATATGGAGGAGGAAGTGGGAGTGGAGAAGGTGGTGGTCATGGTGGATACATCCCTTGAGAATACCTCATTGGCTCATTCACCTCAAAGGGGACATGTCCTTACTTATTACTATTGTAATGGTGCAAAATAAGTTTAATTTTGGCAACAGGATGCTTAGGTCATGAAGTTATATATATTCTATGAAATCCAAAAACGGATGCCTACAAGATTTGTATGAAAAAGTGTGTTGCTTCTTTTATGACTTCCTAAATTTAAGACATGGTGCAATTTCATCCACAAAAGTCCCATGATAATCCTAAATTAACCAATGGGTTTGGCTCCTATATTTGTGGACATGCATTAAATTCTGGGAAACTCATAGGTTGATGTCACTAACTTTGGCAAAATCTTCTACACCTAAATTCATCTGTCCCAATCTCAATGTATACTTAATCATATGATCACATTTTTAACGGCTTCGCAAGTGCTAATTTTTAATTTTTAAATGTAAGAATGAGTTTATTCATATATAGCAGAGTAACTTGACCAAAGTGATTTTTTATTATACTATAAAGTGGTAATTATTATTACTTATATGACTTGATCGATACTTTAGATTCATTTTTAAAATTCGACAACTTATTGTGAAAGTACATGATGGGCGTGGTTGATTGGAAGGATTAAAACATGTGATTGAGATTATTAATCCGTCGGCCCAATTATCTTATGTTTGTTTTGACATTTTGGTTTCGGATTATTAATCTAATGGATAATTAATCTAACAAATTTGTAGGATTATTAGTAATGGGGTATGGGTGGGATAGTGAATATCACACTAATCTAATAGAATTATTAATACCTTACTAGTAGTCTTGTAAATCAAACATGACCAATATATACTTTTCTAGGGAATGGCATAATAAAATTTCTAAAAAATAACAAATTAACAACTATTCATGTTTGGTATATTGAGGCAGAAGGAGCAACATAACAAACCCATCTGAAGTAATACAAGGATATCTAGCTAGATATAATAATAAAAATAAAAATAAATAAATAAATAAAAGCTTTAGCTTGAGATGTATTTATATAACTTGAAATGTGGGATACAGGGCAAAAGCTCCCTAGTGGCAGTGGGGTGTACTGGTGCAATTGACAGCGTACTGGAATCTGGAGTGCATCGTCTCAATAATGATTGGTACTCTTTTTTTTTAAATAATTTTTTTTGAATTTCAATTATTGATGGTATGAATTTCATACATATATGAGTAAGTCTAACGTATATATCAATGGTTGAGATTTAAAAATGTTATGTAAATTTTTAAAGAAGGGAGTCTCAAGCATTTTTCTTTGTGTACTGGATCACATTGTCGGAGACTTTCAACCAATTTATGTGGGACTCACATAATTTCATATAAATTAAAATAATAAATTGAAGTATATATAGAACTAAAAGCTGGTTTGGCATAGACTATATAATCCATCTTTTTATCTTTTATCTTTTTTTATATCACATCATCTCTCTACTTTTCTGTACATCTTTTCATAAAAAGACAAAAAATATATTTTTTTAGAACACCCCAAACCAATCCTAAATATAGAATGAGACACAAATTGTCATAAATGATGAGTCACACATATGGGTCTTACATGATGTAAGCCTCGTATCTTGTGAGATATTTGTGTTTAGTCTATGTATTTCTAACATAAATGAAATTAAAATTTTGAATGTATTTATGGTATTATCACAAGTCATAAAATTTTCGCTTTTGAACCCCTTGACAAGGGAAAATTATTTTGTCAAGTCATTAAATTTGAAATTTGTAATTTCATATTTGATTCTGATCAATCATGATTGACTATAAATCTCATTTAGCACATAGGGTTACGATGGAGCAATTACAATTGTATGTATACAAAAATAGCTCAAGCATAATTGATTGTCTAAAATCCATCAAAACAATTTCAAGAATTTTTTTTACCAAAGTCCCCAATTTAAACCTAACAAGGGTTCGTTTGCAATGTGTGTTAGTTTTTTAGCTTTTTGATTTTTTGGTTATTTTATCCTAAGGTTAAAAAGTCTCGTTTAGAATAGATTTTTTGACTTTTTTTATTTTTGTGAGAGAAAAAATAAAAATGATTATTGTTTGAATATGACATTTTGTTTTATTGGGTTAAAAAATCTATTTTGTCGACTATTTTAGCCCAAAAAAATTCATTTTAGCTTATTCCAAACGAAGGCAAAGATAATGTGTGATTTTGAATTGCTATTTGCTACTCCTAAAATCTTATTTACATACTTTGTTCTTATCTTATTTTTATAAAATCAAAAACATATCCTCATGCTCTATACGCTTTAGTAGAAAATATCACCACTTATATAATTATTAGTATATTAATTTTAAGAATGTCACCAAAATATAAGAAAATTTATTTTTACGAAAAAATGTTTTCAACGGGAACAACGGAGCATTACATGTATAGATAATTAAAAGAATCTAAAAACGTTTTTGAGGCAATTCCTACGGAGGAGTCTCTAAAATTAAGGATTTCGGATTTTGTTTAAAAACTTTTCAAATATATATATATATATATTATCTTTTTCCTTATCTTAGAAGATTTAAAAGTACCAATTAATAGAATTATTGAATATTATTTCCTTACGAATGCTAACATATTTTCATCCACACAATACTGTTTGGGAGTTTTTTTGATAAATCCATTTTCTAAGAGCTTTATTCCATCCAATCCATATTCTTTTTGCCTATTCCATTAGGTCCAATTTGAGATAAGAAGACCAAAATACCATTTTTATCTACTTATGTTCTATTTAGTTCACATTATTTTCTTATGTTTCAATAGGTCCTATGGGTGATATAATTACCAAAATACCCTTAATATGAATGTTCACACCGTCAATATAAATGTTTATATCATCAATGTGTAGGGGCCCGGCTCATGTCGATCCTTGTGGGTGCTCGGAAAAATTCAAGTTGGGCCGGGCCGGCCCACAAGCCAAAAAAATAGGGCCGACGATAATATGAATATTCACATTTACAAGTTAACATTCACATTGATAGGAGTGTAAAATTGGCCTACGGCCCATGGGCGGCCCGAAACCAGCCCGTCGCCCAGGGCGGGCCTGGGCCGGCCCGTTCACAATATGAATATTCACATTGACATATTAACATTAACATTAACATTGACAAGAGTGTAAAATTGGCCCATGACTCGTGGGCAGCCCGAAGTCCGGGCCCGGGTCGGGCCTGCCCGACCCGGCCCGTTGACAATGTGAATATTCACATTGACATGTTAACATTCACATTGATAGGAGTGTAAAATTGGCCTGCGGCCCGTAGGTTGCCCGAAACCAGCCCGTCCCCCGGGGCGGGCCTGGGCCGGCCCGTTCACAATATGAATATTCACATTGACATATTAACATTAACATTAACATTGACAAGAGTGTAAAATTGGCCCATGACCCATGCACAATGATAAGAGTATAAAAATAGCCCGCGCCCCGTGGCTGCCCGAAACTAGCCCACAGCCCGTGGGTGACCCGGGGCGGGCCGACCCGGCCTGTTGACAATGTGAATATTCACATTGACATATTAACATTCACATTGATAAGAGTGTAAAATTGACTCGCGTCCCATGGGCGGCCCGGGGAGAGCCCGGTCCGCCCGTTGACAATGTGAATATTCACATTGACATATTAACATTCACATTGATAGGAGTGTAAATTTGGCCCGTGGCCCGTGGCGGGCCCGGCTCGGCTCGTTGACATGTGAATATTCACATTGATCATTTAACATTAACATTGATAAGAGTGTAAAAAGTCCGTGACCCGTGGGCAGCCCGAAGCCCGGCCCGGGCCGACGAGGCCCGGCCGTTGGCAACGTGAATATTCACATTGATAAGAGTGTAACATTAGCCCGTGCCCCATGGCTGCCCGAAACACGCCCACGGCCCGTGGGCGGCCCGAGCCGGCCCGAGGCGGGCCCGGTCCGGCCAGTTGACAATGTGAATATTCACATTGACATGTTAACATTCACATTGATAAGAGTGCAAAATTGACTTCGCGTCCCATGGACGGCTCAAGGTGGCCCGGGTTTGGGTTCGAGCCTACCTCGGCCGCGGGCGAACTTCGGCAGCGGGCAAGTTTTACACTCCTATCAATGTTAATGTTAAACATGTCAAATGTGAATATTCACATTGTCACGGGTCGGACCAAGCCGTCTCGGGTTGCGATCGGGCTTCGGGCCGCCCACGGGCTACGGGCCAATTTTACACTCTTATCAATGTGAATGTTAACATGTCAATGTGAATATTCACATTGCCAGCGGACCAAAGCCGCGCCTACCGGCCGAGGTCGGGCTTGGGCTGCCCACGGGTCTGGGCCAATTGTTATCTTAATCAATTTGAATGTTACATGTCATTTCGTGAATATTCACATTGTCAACGGCTGGGCCGGGCCCGCCCCGGGCCGACCCATGGGCCGTGACGGGTTTCGGCAGCCACCCGGGGCGCGGCTTAATTTTACACTCCTATCAATGTGTGATGTTACATGTCAATCATGAATATTTCACATTGTCCGGGTCGGCGCCAAGCCGCCTTGGGCTGCGGTCGGCTTTCGGGCAGCCCGGGCTTGCGGGCCAATTTTATACTCTCACATTTGACAATGTTAACATTCACATTGATAAGAGTTTAAAATTGGCCGTAGCTGTGGGCGGCCGAAGCCCGATCGCAACCCGATGCGGGCTTGGTTCGACCCGTGACAATGTGAATATTCACATTGACATGTAACATTAACATTAATAGGAGTGTAAAACTTGCCCGCGGCCCGAGGTAGGCCCGAACCCAAACCCGGGCCACCCGAGCCGCCCATGGGACGCGAGTCAATTTTGCACTCTTATCAATGTGAGTTAACATGTCAATGTGAATATTCACATTGTCAACTGGCGCCGACCGGGCCCGCCTCGGGCCGCCCACGGGCCGTGGGCGTGTGCGGCAGCCACGGACACGGGCTAATGTTACACTCTTCAGTAATTCATCAATGTGAATATTCACGTTGCCAACGGGCCGGGCCCTCGTCGGCCCGGGGCCGGGCTTCGGGCTCCCACGGGTCACGGACTAATTTACACTCTTATCAATGTTAATGTTAATATGTCAATGTGAATATTCACATGTCAACGAGCCGAGCCGGGCCCGCCCACGGGCCACGGGCCAAATTTACACTCCTATCAATGTGAATGTTAATATGTCAATGTGAATATTCACATTGTCAACGGCGGACCGGGCT